AGAGACAACTAGTACTTCTTTCCCTCTCGTACATTCGCAAAATCTCGCCCCGCGTGTGAAATATCGCTCAGGACAGAATCCACCTTGATTCTCCAGCACAATTGCTCTCACTATTCTCGAATTCAGCTCCAGATCATCAGCTCAGATCCGGATCCGATCAACATATCAAAAAATCAGCGATGTTTTTCTTCTTTTTTGAGTTATGATTTTTTGAAATTATCATGTTTAGAAATTTCGCTCATTACTCCAATACGACTAGATAACCCTGCGTCTCCATTGGTACATAGCTGACATTGTCATTGACATAATCCATATCAATTTTCTGCTTCTGCTTTTATAGGCTTGTTTATTCAAAGTGAATACTTCAACAAGTAAATAGCTACCTAGACAGTGTACATGCTAGAATCATACGGAAAACTTGGTAGGTACAATGCAGGGTGCGTGACGAATTTTTGCAGTAAATTTCAAATAGTAATTTCTCATGCTTGTGCATCATGATTTAGATATATTTGGCAGCACTGTATAGCTTATACTGTTAGGTGTAAGATTTAAACAAACAATGTTGAGTAAACGTAAAGATGTCGAAACAAGAGAGCAATCTGTCAGCCGTTGTCGCTTTGTTGCGCGCCGGAGTATGCATGAAAGAAATAATTCGGTCGGTAAATGTGTCTGAAAGAACAGTGTATAATATTAAAAAAAGGCTTGGGAAAGTGATAAGACGGAGCACCTGCTCATACTGCTAATAAAGCACAGAAATGGCTTACGGAAAATATTTCGTAAATTTGGGAGGAATAAATTTGACCCCCAAGCAGTCCCGATATCAATACGTTGGATTATTTTGTATAGGGCGCCGTCCAACGGGATACCAATAGAACCCCTCACACCACACTTAAGTCGCTAAAAGCTAAAATCAAGGCAGTGATGACATCTATGGATCGAAACATTTTAAAACGCGCATACTGCAGTTTCCGGAAGCGTCTAACTACAGTCGTCGAAAGGGAAGGCATTTTTTTTTGAATAAATTTACTTACAACTTCCATATGTTGCGAAAGAAAATAAATCGCACAAAATTCATTGCTAGAATAACTAACTGGTGTATTTTTTCTCAAATATGCCATTTACTGCAAAAATTCGTCACGCACCCTGTATTTAAGGATGAACTTAGAAGTGAAATAATCAGTAAGGAAACAAAAGCTCTGTTAATCCAAAGACATGCGGTGAAGAAAAAAGTTAAATTAGATGGCAGTTCCTTCATATGCAGAAATTGCTACCTCAAACTGTATAAATCCACACCGGAAGAGCCCAACGCTGGACCATCCGGAGTTCCTGCTGTCAACAGCCAAGGTGAATATTGTATTTGAAAAATGTATTTACATTGGTAGCCATGAGTCAAACGAGCATGACGTCACATTATAGCATTCTGAAAACTTTGTAACGTCAGGCTCGAATGTAGTGTAGTGTTTAGAGTAATGTCAAATATGTTTTTTTTAACTTCATTTTAAGAGTCACTAGAAGCACCCAGTTTACAATCGACCAGAAGCACTGACAGTGTGCCTACTACAAACGATGATGATATAAAATGTTTGTATCCTCTTATAAACAGGCAATCCAATAAACTTCTAATATTTAAACAAGTTTTTAGACCGGTCATGCTTTACGCTGTGCTAATATGGTCTAGTTGTTGCACGACCAGGAAAAAAGCACTTCAAAGGATTCAGAACAAAGTTCTTGAGATGATTTTGAAGTTGACTCCCTGGTACAGTATTACCGAGGTACATAGAATTTCGAATGATGAGACTTTAGAACAAATGCCCAACAAAATATTTTTTTTTTTTTATAAAAGTTTAGTTTTTATTGTCAGTGTTTTTACAATTAGTTTTCTATATCTAGATGAAAATTTAACTCAGCTACATCAATTCTACCGTTACTTTCATTAACAAAGCAGATGTAATTAAAAAAAAGGTTAAGAATTTCCACACGTTTCGTATTTCCTATTCCTATTAAGGCAGGTCTCACCAGGTCTTCAAATGTGAGTCGTCTTCATCCATCCAAAATGCCTGTTATCCTCTGCTGCAGGACCGTCCAAGCCGGGTCAACACGAGTGCAGGTGCAGAATTTATGGAGGAGAGTTTCCGCCGTTTGATTGTCACAATGTGTGCAGTTCTCGTCCGCCACTCGCTGTATCACAAAAAATAGCTTGCGATGCTCGATCTTCTCATTGACCAGGAGGTACAGTCTCGTCCGCTGCGCTGAAGTGAGCTGCTTTGCCGCAATGTTGCGCCACGTGCGCGGCCAGTTGGTTGTCGGGCTATTACGTTCCACCCTTGGCAGGTCGGTTTGGAGAACGAAATGTCGGTGGATTTGATCGGCGGAGGGGTTTTGTTGGATTTGGTGGGGAATTTGGGATAAACTAGATAGGATTATTTTGAGGTCAGGAAGATCTATAGAGATTGCTGGGCGGGGATTTACGTGGAGCAGAAGGGATCTATAATAAGGAAGGGAATCGATCTCACGAAGGTGCCGGTTAATGGCCAACGACTTACATTTTAGTGCTGGTAGATGCAACTTCAGTCCTCCGTCTTCTCTGCTCCGTGCTAGCTGCATCATTGGGACGTGGGCCACCATTCCTCTCCACAGGAAGGTACCCATCGTTGATGTAATTTTCGCCGTGTGCTTGGCAAGGGGCGGCAGTATCGACGACAGATACCATATCCTGGAGGTGCCGAACGTGTTCAGCATGATGACTCTTTGGTGCAACGTTAGTGTCCGTAGAGAGTGCAACCACATTTGCTGCGCGAACTTCCCTACCTGTGCATCCCAGTTCAACGTCACCCAGAATTTTGACTACATTCGCTGTTTGCAGCCACGGGGTGATGATCGCGTTGCCTTCGCAAAACCCAACGTCAATGGCAATAGTCTTCCGCAAGTTCAATTTGGCGCAGACCATTCATCGCCCCGATTTGCCCGACCGATGTGACGATGACGCTGATATCATCCGCGTAGGCCACTAGCAAATCATTTCCGCACGCTTGCTCGAGTCTGACCACCAGTGGGTGGAGGTACAGCACGAAGAGGTGCATGGACAACGGGTCCCCTTGCCGTACGGAGCGTTGGATTTCGAAAGGGCGAGAGAGATGCCGATTGATGAGCAGCCGTGAGGTTGTGCGATTGGCAATCTGCGCCAGCAAAGCGATGAGATTCTCGTTGAATCCGAGGGAGCGCATGGTCGAGAAGAGAAATGAGTGCCGGACCCGATCGAACGCATGATCGAGATCGTAGCTTATGAGCTTCCCGGCACGGCGATGGTGACGGAGACTGGCGATCCGATCTTTCAGAGCAAGGGTGGCTTGGAAGATGTTTCGCTCGGAGTTAGAGCATTTCTGTCCATCGCTCAGCACGTGGTGGGCTCTCATCACCCGCTCTAGCCTGGTCTTGGTAATGCGGGAGAACAGTTTGTAATCGCTGTTGAGCAGCGAGATCGAACGGTAGGATCGTGCCGTGTTGTCTCCTTCTCTCTTTTTAACCAGCACGATAATGCCTTCCACAAATGCGGCGGGAAGATTGCCGGTGAGCGCTTCGTTGAGCAGCACGTTCAGCTCTCGGTGGATAACGTCGAACATGCGGTAATAAAACTCTCGCGGGATGCCGTCGCAGCCGAGAGACTTTCTGGGAGCACTTGTTGTTATTGCCGACAGAATTTCTGCCGTAGTGATTTCGCTCGTGCAGGCTTCATTCAGTGGGTCGTTCGGCGGAACGGGTCTTTCCTCACAAACGAAGCTGTTGTCGTCTCCACCGTTTGCTTCTTCCGAGTAGAGCTCGGAGAAATAGCCCAGCAAGTGCGCCTCGATCGCTTGCGGTTCCTCGATGTTTGCATTTTGCTCCGTGGCCAGTTGTGTGATGACGGTTCTCTTTCTCCGCCTCTCCCCCAACTGGAATATCGACAGTGGATCCCCCGCCACGTGCGTTTCGTTGATCCGCATGAACGTATGGGAGAAATTACGCTGCAGTGCCAACATTTCCCCTTTCAATCGATTGATCGTGGTTATCAGTTCTGGGTGCTGGTAATACCCGTCGTACGCTAACCGTAGCTCCGCATAGAGACGCTGGTGTGCGCTGTAGAATTCGTCGAAAACTTCACGAGATTTCCACTTGAAGAACGATTTTATTTTAGGCTTAGCGTACGAGAGCCACCATTCCATCCATGACCCGTAGTTCCTGCGTTGGCGGGTCCAATATTGCCACTTATATTGGAACTCCCCAACGTTTTCGTCAGTTAGAAGGTGGGGCCGAAGTGACCAGAATCCACGGCCGTGTACGTGTCCAAGTTGGGGGGGGCATATTCGGAGTGTCAGCGCTTTGTGGTCGGTGAACGAGCAGACATGCGTGTGTGCTGCTCGCAGGTTATCGCGCAAAACGCTGCTGACATAAATGCGGTCGAGGCGCGATTGAGCATTTCTGCTGACGTAGGTGAAGCCTGTATCGCGTGGACAAAGCTTTTCCCACACATCGTACAGCTGGAGCTGCTGCACAGCTGTTTTGAGTGAGGGACTTGTGTTGGGGCTACTTGAATCGCATGCTCGCAGCACACAATTAAAGTCACCAGCCAGAATCACATGCTGTGTCCGATGACGGAGGTAGTAGGCAAGCGTCCCATTAAAGAAATCCTCCCGAGCTGCGCGCTGCGAAGAGCCGGAGGGAGCGTAAACGTTGCAGATAGTTGTATCTTGCACTCTCAGCGCAAGCAGTCGGCCGTCCAGACTTCGTTCGACGTGAGTGGCATGGATGTGGTCCTTCAGAGCAATAGCTGTACCTCTTCTCATGTGGTCTACATTGGCGAAAACGACGAAGCCAGGCAAGGAGAGCTGCTCGTTTTCAACCTCTTGCAGACACACAATAGCGAGGTTTTGGCTACTGATGAAGGTTCGGAGCGCATTTAGTTTTGTAGGGTTCGTGATGGTGCCGATGTTGATGGAAGCAACGTTGTAGGATGTGAGAGCCATTTATGGGAGCTTCTCTCCACCCCGCTCTTCGTCCTCGCTGGTCCGGCGCGGTTTCTTTGCTCGGCGGTCGGCCCTGTCCCGCCTGCTACTCGTGGATGTGGAAGATTCGTCGGTTTCGTTGCCATTCCCGCTCTTGCTCTGCGATCGCAGCGCGTGTGGGGGCTTCTTAAACAGGTCAACCGTAGCCGTGCTGGTGTTGGCTGGATGGGCAGTTACCGATGGCACTCGTTGCGACGACGACATTTGCGCTAGTAGTGGTTGCGGACACAGGGACGCTACAGCTGTTGCGGCCTGGCTACTATTCTGCGCATTCGTGTCCGTCTGCTTCGGCAACTCGGGAAATGCACCCAACGTTGCCGTTGGTGGTGCGGTAGGTTTCGGCTTGACTGGTTTCGGACGAGCTGGTGTTGGTTGCGGTCGTGGACCCGTTTGCTTCGTCACGTTAGCGTAGCTCTTCTGGACCAGAAGCTTTTTGTTCTGGACACATGATATGCCAGTGTGTAAAATATCGCGTAAATTTATGCCAAAAATATCGTTAATTTTATGTGCACTTTATATCTAAGAAATTCACATGAATTTTTCGAACGGTGTAGCAATAATCTATTTATTTTAAGATGTATTATCTAAACATTAAATTGGAGTTAACGTGAAACTGAATAAACTGCCAATACTTTTCCTTTTACTACGGCACCATAAAGTAGAACTTTTCGCGACTGTTATTTTATAGTTAGGAAAAGTAGGCCATTATGTTATTCATATCAGTGTCGAAAAGTGAAAAGTTGCAAAATGAAGCCAACCCAAGTCGTACATTTAAAGGGTGATACGGTCAAAATTTGGTCAATATCAACTTGACGTATTTCTTTCAATTTTGCATTTAAAAAACCTGAACACCCCTCATTTTGAAGGTGTGTGTGTGTAGAATGTTGCTCCTATTTTGATTTTGGAATTCACTCTTCAGTTGTCAAAATGCCGTCCAAGCAAGAAGAGCAGCGTATCAAAATTTTGCTCGCGCATCGCGAAAATCCGAGCTATTCGCACGCAAAGTTGGCAAAATCGCTAAAAGTTGCCAAATCAACCGTTACAAATGTAATTAAAGTGTTTGGGGAACGTTTGTCGACAGCCAGGAAGTCTGGATCGGGGGGAAATCGAAAACCGGAAGCCGCTGAGACGACAAAGAGAGTTGCCGGTAGTTTCAAGCGAAACCCTAACCTCTCTCTCCGAGATGCCGCAAATAAGCTGGGTGTATCGTCTACAACCGTGCATCGAGCCAAAAAACGAGCCGGACTATCGACTTACAAGAAGGTAGTGACTCCAAATCGCGATGATAAACAAAATACGACGGCCAAAGCGCGATCCCGGAGGCTGTACACGACGATGCTGACGAAGTTTGACTGTGTGGTAATGGACGACGAAACCTACGTCAAAGCCGACTACAAGCAGCTTCCGGGACAGGAGTTTTATACGGCAAAAGGAAGGGGAAAGGTAGCAGATGTTTTCAAGCACATGAAACTGTCAAAGTTCGCAAAGAAATATCTGGTTTGGCAAGCCATCTGTACCTGTGGCTTGAAAAGCAGCATTTTCATAGCTTCCGGGACTGTCAACCAAGAAATTTACGTGAAAGAGTGTTTGAATAAACGTTTGCTGCCTTTCCTGAAGAAACACGGTTGTTCCGTACTGTTTTGGCCGGATTTGGCATCTTGCCATTACGGTAAAAAGGCCATGGAGTGGTACGCCGCCAACAACGTGCAGGTGGTTCCCAAGGACAAGAATTGAGAAATACTGGGCTATTGTCAAGCGGAACCTAAAGAAGACCAAAAAAACTGCTAAGGGCGAGCAGCAGTTCAAGGCAAACTCGCTTTCTGCGGCGAAGAAGGTGGACAAGGTGGCTGTACAAAATCTGATGGCAGGGGTCAAGCGTAAGGCCCGGCAATTCGGATTTGGAAAAGCGGAAGCCTAACTGAATATTTTTCCTGAATTTTATACTAATTGAACTTGAAAAAGAAATTTAATTTGATTTTTTAAATAAACGATTTCACCGATTTACACGCGTTTTCCCTTGACCAAATTTTGACCGTATCACCCTTTATCCTACAAATTACGATGAGTGCTGAAAAATCCAGTTTTTCAACGAGCTGCATCAAAAAAAAATGCAATTTTGAAAAATACATTTTGTGTTTTAATTATTTCTCGTTTCAAGAGTAACTGCATATGTACGTCCATGCGTATTATCAAAATATTCTGGTCATGTAGGTTATGAAATGTGACAGTCACAATATTCCAACCTGTTGGTCGGTAAGGCTTTACTTAATGCAATGCATAGTCTTCTTACTCTATTCACAAATTGAGGTGTGGACTTACCAAAATCAAACGCGGAATCGACGGATACAAACATACGAACCATTGCACAAATAGGCTGGTTGTAGCCATAGAGAGTACGATGAAAGCTCGGTTGCATCAGAGATTGCTGACGTAACATCCTACCTGAAGCACGGAAATAAAGCAGTGACAGAAGATGAGAGCAATCGACGTCCCCATTGAGTAATTTAGCTATAAACGTAGCCTGTTGTAGCTTACGTTTTCGATCAAGCATTTCGAGGTCAAGCAGACGGCATCTATCGGGATATGCTGGAAGGTTCAAAGGATCACGCCACGGTAGGTTTCTGAGCACAAGTCCTATGAATCTTTTTTGCACACGATCGAATCTTAGATTCCATGATACGTCGTTTGAAGCCCATACAACTGAAGCATTTTTTAGGATCGGCCTTACGAGTGAACAATACAATGCTTTTAGACAGTGTGGATCCGTGAAATCCTTGGCAATCTTAGAGATGAAGCCAAGTTGACGATTAGCCTTGGAAATATTCGATGCATAATGAGAATGAAAGGAAAGCTTCGAGTCCAATACGACACCAAGATCCGTCACTTGATCCACTCTGCTAAGAACAGTATCATCGATGTGGTATTCGTAAATTAACGGGTCTTTGGACCGATAGAAGGTCATCACATGACCAGGTAGTAGTTAGATCCAGCAAGTTAGTAGCAACAGACCTACCGGTAAATCCATGTTGATCTGACGAAATGTGGTTTTTTGTAGCGCGTTGAATTTGATCACTGTCGATAACCTCGAGAGGCTTCGATGTGGCAGAAAGGCTGGTTATCCCACGGTAGTTTTTAACATCTCGTCGGTCACCACTTTTGTGCACAGGAAACATGTACGGTAGTTTCCATCTCATGGGAAATTCACCTAGTTTAAACGAACGGTTGAAAATGAAGGCTAACGGCTCAGCTACTGCGCATGCGCAGCGACGGAAAACAGCAGGAGGGATACCATCAGAGTCAGGAGCAAATGAATTCTTCAACTTTTTTGAAGCACCGATGATCATTGCAGATGAAATTTCGAACGTGTCTAAATCAACTGCATCCAGCGCGACATTTGTCGCAGCCAGTTCAGCCTCGACGTCGGACGATGACATTGGTTCGAAGATGGATGCAAAATGCATCGCGAAGAAATTGCATGCTTCTTCTTCACTATTGGACTCTTTGCCATCATAGATCATTAGGCGGAACTGATGAGCTTTTCCTCTTGCTGTTTACGAAACCCCAAAACGATTTCGGATCCCGGCGTAAACCAAACTGCACCATCAAAACGTGTGATTTATAGAGTGAAGCATTCAACTTTCTGTAGCCGTTTGAAGTTAGCTATAACAAGCATATAAAAATTTCTCTCCCACACCTCACTGTGAAGGAATTTTGAAACCATATTCATGTTTTTAGTCCTTATGTGTGCCGCGGGAGTCAACTTTAGACCGCGAATTAGTTTAGTTAGGAAAAGTTGGCCGTTATGTTAGTCTACCGGATGATGAAAAAACAGGTATATTTTTGACATCGTCACTGAAAGAAAACCTAAAAAACCTCATTAATGTTTTCGTAAATGACAATGGTTCACCTGGTAACAAAAAGTGTAATTCCGTGTGTCACATTATTAACCTGGCATTTAAAAGGACCTAGATATTTTACCAAACAAACAATTTCAGCTGAATAATGCCAGAATAAGCCATTTTTAGTTTAAGAGCATATTTTTGCCTGAACAATCTCTTATACCCTGTACAGACTATGGCATGTATCATGTAATATTGGCTGTCTTGCAATGAGCACTCAATATCACCGTGTATTGTCGATATTTTGCAGCACTGCTTAGCCGCCAAATAACAAAGAACGCCGCAAATAAAACAAAAATCTGCTTCAACAAGACATTCACTTACCTTTGGTGTCCTCGACATTCCACCACCTCCACCACCACCACCTCCTCCTCCTCCTCCTCCTCCTCCTCCTCCTCCTCCTCTTCCTCCTCCTCCTCCTCCTCCTCCTCCTCCTCCTCCTCCTCCTCCTCCTCCTCCTCCTCCTCCTCCTCCTACTCCTCGTCCACCTCCTCTGCTCATCGTTGCCGGTGCAGCAGAATCACTGGGTCCACCAATTTTCCCAAACGGTTTCGATAGGTATAAGCTTTCTGTTCGTTTTGGCTGAGATGGCGAAGGAATAATGTCTTGGCCAAGAGTTCGCTGCCGCAGCAGAACGTCTTCAAAAGGTTGATTTGTATTGGAAAACGGAGCATCATTTGTCTGCTGACGAAGCGGGGTATTTGCTCTGGACGGTGGATGCGGACCAATTCCATTACCCGTTGGTATCGCATTGTTTACATTCGTTACATTCCTTATGGGAGTTATCCCTCGAATTTGCGAACCAGCACGTACAGATCGGTCAGGCACGGATTCGTTCGCTACACCTTGATTAACTACATATGAACCGGTTCTATCTACTGAAGATTGTCTGGATTGTGTTCCACCTAGCCTACTAGCCGCTCTCGAATATCGATCCACTGAGCCGTCTCTGCTAGGAGGTCGTTTATAATGGTCAAAGTAATCTATAGAGGTCTGTCCTACAAGTGGCGCAGTATTAGGTGCACCGGAAATCTGACTGGAATTTCGATGAGTAAAATTATCTTGTTGAAAACGTTCTATGTCTAACTGTTGATAACTTTGTCTATCCACGTAACTTGATTCTAACTGTTGTTGGTTCATAATATTACTGATTGGACTACCAACATGCATATTTGGCGAAGTGTTCGAATACGCATTCTGTACATTGTTCGGCATATTTGGTATCGCACCGAAACTCTGCTGACTATTCCGCTCAAAAGACTGCGATAACTTTCGATTACTAGGCCGCTGTACCATGTTATAGTTCGGAACGGATTGTTGGGTATTGGGATACCCTTTGTTAAAAGCTACATTTGTCACATCATGATTATACATTAGGGATTGTGGCTGCGTTGGGGATCTAACTGTTTCTTGGTTATAGGTATTTTGTTTCAGTACTCCATCGCCTATCGAGGGTTTGGGTGGTATATCTGGGATTTGTTTGATGGAATAATCCAACGGTGTCCTGACTTGCCGTTCCCGTCTTAATCGTTCAAACCGCTCTAACAGTTGTGGTTTGAAGTCTGGGGCAAATTCTCTAGCCATCTGTATAGCCACATCAGAATCTACACGCGCTGTGTCCGCGGCAACGTCTGCTAATTCAGCCTTTCCACGTGCCGTCGCTGTCCTTGAAATGGCAATATCAGCTTTTTGTAATGCGTATTTAGAAGCGCGTTGAGCAGAATCAACTGCAGCGTCTATTCGTTCTCTGAATTTGGCGGAGCGGATCAGAAACAGATGTTTCTTTTTTTGACTAGTTATAAGTACATTATTTTTATATTTGCCTTCCTCTTTCGTGCCATCCTTAAACGTCGTAACACCATATCCGTATTTCTTATTTGCAAACCATTCACCTTCATACCTGAAAACATAAAGTTTTAATAATACAATTCAAATGTAATTCATCATGTTTGACCTACTTTAACCCATCACTTCGCTCCGAAATACCATAGCCACAACGCTTATCATTCTTCCATTCACCCATATACGTCTCAATCACACTACCGTCCAACTGTTCATCTTCCACAATAAAGCTAGCATTGGAATCTGTATGCATTGATCTGAAACAATAGAATATTTGAAAATTATCTGGTGTGATGTTCTTGTAGTAAATACGTACTTGTTTGTCATTCCTGACTGTGAGGACTCCGTGCTAAGCCATGATGCAATCGAAGCAGTTGATCGAATGCTTCCAGATCCAGTCCCACGTTTTTCCAAATCACCAGTACTTCGTTGCTTTCTTATTTTAAGGCCCTGTAATTATAATGAAGAAAGCATATGAAGTATTAGAACTATGTGTTGAACACTTTGATTTTAAATTTTGAAAAAATAAGAGAACGGGTAGAATGGGACTATTCATAAATGACGTTGCATTATTCTCAATGTTCTCAGATTTTTGCTCGCCATCAAAAATGTACTTTCTATATTATACTCCAATAGTCTCTGTGCATAAAATTAGCTCATTTGCTCATAACAGGAACTGCCCTAAGCACATTCGTGAAAAAAAAATGTTTGACCCATTTTCCACTTCCACCGGTGGTAAATCATTAAAAAAAATTAACCACTTCAAACAGTTTGTTTATGGATTTTGATAATTTTTTACAGTGTATATTTTTTCTTGAAAGGCACAATACTTGTTCGCAACTTCGCCGAAGACACCATCTCGATCAAACAAATCGTTCGTGAGATATATGTTTTTCTGTTGATGTGTATAATTTTTGCATAAGCCCTTTTCAAGTGTTAATCGTGTACAAAACTAGGGAACCAAATATGTAAAATGGTATGTTGGACAATAACAAACAACTGTGCAAAGTTTCAACATAATCGTAGAAGGTCAATAATAAAATTAAAAAAAATCGTCATTTTAAATGGAACTGCTGCTATGAAATACATCTTTCGTGCATATATGCCTTGGCAGAATCAGTGCATATCACGAGCTAGGAGAATCTTGGCAATTTTTTTTTGGCGGATCATTGGTCTTGGATTGGATTGGTGACAAGTGACCCATGTCATGATGCTTTGGTTCCAATTAAGGGCATGTGGCACGTATAGCTGTTTGTGTTGATCCTTATGCCTTGTTCAGACTACAGAGTTGTAACCAAGGTTGCAAATACTCATTTCAGCTAAAATAATGTTTTTCGGAATAATAAACCCAAAAGATGGTATGATGACATGTTTTACTTTTAAATTACAAGAAGAGGTTACACAGTATGCGTTTGAAACATAGCACCTGTAAATTTTGCTTTCTATGAGTCACAATCAGCGATTTGCTGATCGCTGAGTGAGTGAGTGAGTGCGTCAAAAATCGCTGATTGTGACTCTCATGAAGTGAAATAAACAGGTTTAGTATGTCAAACACATTTTTTGCAACCTCTTCTTGTATCTGACCTATTCAAAATATGATCATAGCATCTAATTATTTCATAATTAAAAAAAAACATTGTTCTAGCTGAAATGAGTATTTGCAACTTGGTTGTAACCACTGATAGCACGCTGCCATCTTTTCGTAGGCAGCATAAAAAAGTGAAAAGAACGTAATCAAGCGTGTTATGCTCGCTATGACAACTTGTTATTAGTAAATATAGGAGTGTCACTTCCCTGGTTGTAACATGTTACAAGGGTGTTATTGAAATTATCAACAAGAAAAACGTCATCAAAGTAGCCTTGTAACATGATACAACTCCGAAATCTGATCATAGCATTAGTGACCAGATTTTCTCAGACATACTACACAGAAAAAAAACTGAATTCTACTTAGGTTATTCATGTATGTAAACTTTCTTTTTATGTAAACTAGCAACGTGCAAGAAATGTTGCTTACAACGATGTACGGTTGCATACAATATATGGAATATTTCATGACATATTTCATAAATTTAAACGATCTATAATGTTTTTGCATGATATTGTAACCCTCGTCCAGGGTGACAATTATAAACCACTCTTTTGCCGTGTTTGCCATGAGCGTGTGTCTTGCCTGTTATTATTTGTTTTTGTTTTGGTCACACGCTCGGCAACATACTCACCACTGCCTGATATGTACACGGAACCGAATTTTGTTCATTTAAATCAAAAATATAAATGTTCATTTTATAAACATATAAATAATTCAAAATAAATTAGAAACATGGTTGCAACAAAAATATATATGTTTCAATTAAAGTCAAAAGCATATTTATTTCAACAATATAGAATTTGGGTACACGATTTTTAGCGTGCCCTGCCCGGCCCTGCCTTTTTTTCCTTCTTGTTTACATTAGGAAAAAAAAAAATTGCCCCAGCTTTGCCGACCAACTGAAAACGGCCTGCAACAAAACCGATGTCATGGATCGAAAAAACCGGAGGAACCCCACAGTATCAACGTCACTCTGTCGTTTCTGATGCCAATCCCTGTATCATCCTCCTCCATAACTGAAGTCGGAAGAAAAACGAAAATCCGAAATGGATTTTGAATCTATTCCGGATCCTCCAGAAACCCCCAGAACAAACTGAGTTTACGTTTGAATTTACCTCAAATATTTTTGTTTCAACGATAAATTTTTCTGCGTGTAAATATTTTAATTTGTTATTTTCTTTGTAGATTTTATTCGGTTTTTTATGTTGTTAGTTTAGTTAGATTAGAAAAAATATCGTTTATTAATGTATAGCGTCTCAAATAAAATTAGGTCCCGTTTCTCCTCCCGCTGCAAAAGAAGGCGAATAAACTAAACAGCATAAAAAGTCGAGCGCGGTTGCAGGAGGACGATGGCGGTTTTTGTTATTGTTCGAGATGGTGAGAAGGGGAGAACAATTCGAGCCACGGTGGAGTGAGGCTGTTTTTTTTTTGTTCGGAGACGATTTTCCCGAGATTTTTGTCCCGAACTAGCTCATGGGAAGTTTTCGCAATCGCGTCGCGAGTTCAAGTACGACCACTTTTGTGTACCACGAGTGAAAGCCGGCCCCGTGGCTGCGAAAAATAGTGTGGTGAAAAGGGTGCTGGATCGCCATTGTGGGAAGCAGGAGCTATTTGCTTCCCTGGCTAACCAAAAAGGATCCGGTAAACACCCGCCGTCCTGACTGCGGTGGCTCAGCCAATAGAGCCAGTCTCGCCACCGCAGTTAATCGTCAAGCAGGACGAAGCAGGCAGTTCCAGAGGTGGGTTCGCCTGGACAGAAGACACTGCGGGGTCTGCCGGGGTTGCCTACGGGAGTAGGCAATCCGGTGATTCGTCACCAACGTCACGAGCCCCACTCATCCCCCCCGGTAATTGTCAAGGACCGCTGCTAAGCACAGAAAAACAAGACCGCTCAGCACAGCCGTGCTTTGTAGCAGCAGAAGCGCGGCCAGACCGTTATCGAAGGGCCCACCGAAGAGCAGCAGCAGCAACAGCAAGAAGGAGAGGGCAAAGATAAGTGAATATACGTCTAAAATTGATTCCCTTTTTGTTGTATTGTTGTTTCACCCAAATCCGAACATCTTTGGGGGAAGTACCCTTGCTCGTAGCCGCCGTTATCACCCATGGTAGCGATCATTTGCCAATCATCATTTCAATTAAGTGTGCCCCTCACTCTGCAGAACAATCTCGAGTTCCATTTGATCTTACAAGGAACATAGATTGGCATAAATATGCAACGGCGGTGACAATCGGTGCCGAATCAATAGATACGCTTCCACCATTGGAAGAATATCGATTCCTCGCCGATTTGATATACAAAAGCTCACTGGAAGCACAAACAAGAAAAGTTCCAAGAGCGCCCTTCAAAAGGAGACCAGCCACACCTGGATGGGACGAAGAATGGACAAAATTGTATGTAGAAAAATCTGATGCTTTCAAAGCTTTTTGTAGACACAAAACTTCCACATATTTCGAGGAATATTCAAAGCTTGAGACAAAGCTGAAACAATTAGTCAAAGAAAAGAAACGCGGTTATCGGCGCAATTTCGTCGAGGGGCTCTCACGAGAAACCTCAATGAACACCTTGTGGAGGGTGGCTCGCAACATGCGTAACCGCTCATCTTTTAATGAGAGTGAAGAATACTCCAACCGATGGATATTCGATTTCGCAAAAAAGGTCTGTCCGGACTCAGTTCCATCACAACACATTCTTCGAGAAGCGTCTCCGAGCGGCGGCTCCCTGGATAGACCATTCACAATGCTGGAATTTTCTATGGCTCTTCTTTCATCGAACAACTCCTCACCGGGAAGCGATATGATTAAATTCAATCTTCTGAAAAATCTCCCAGATATTGCTAAAAGACGCTTGCTAGACTTATTCAATTCTTTACTAGAAAACAACATTGTACCGCCTGAATGGAGACAGGTCAAAGTTATATCCATTCGAAAACCTGGCAAACCAGCGTCTGACCATAACTCATACAGTCCGATTGCTATGCTTTCGTGCATTAGGAAATTGTTGGAGAAAATGATCATTTAGAGACTCGATCAGTGGGTCGAAACAAATAACTTTCTATCAAATACACAGTTTGGGTTCCGCAAGAGCAAAGGAACAAACGATTATCTAGCGCTGCTTTCCACAGCGCTGTTCTAGACTACGGCTCTTTCTGCTTTCTCTTGGCAAGAAAATGTCACCTAATAAAATTGGAACGAATTCAATATGGTATTGCTCTTGGCTGTATGCACTCAACGCATAACATGAGTCTCGAGGTTCTGGCAGGAGTAACACCAAGTTACCTCTATGGTAACACCCCTCCAGAACCGTTTCTGGGAGCTCTCTCTCAGAATACTAATCAAATGCGGAGTGAAGAACACACTTATAATTGCAAATTTTGAAGAAATTTTTGAGCTGAACACACAATCTCGATTTATGAGAATCTACCACCACTACATATCCTCGGATATGTGCCTTCCTTGTTATACTCCAGACCGTGCTCACTTCACCTATCGCAGTTTCTCAATTGAATATGATCTGTCCATGAAACAAGTGAATCATGGGATTCCAGATCAACTTCGAACTATTATTATCCCACGTATTTTTTCTGAAAAGTACCAACACGACAATTGCGTGAACAGATATTTTACAGACGGGTCTCGTCTCAGTGGATCCACTGGCTTCGATGTCTTCAATGAAAACTCTAGCGCCTTCCGGAAACTTCAGGAACCTTGTTCCGTTTATGTTGCTGAGCTGGCAGCAATCAACTTCGTATTGGGGATGATTTCCAACATGCCCGCAGACCATTACTTCATTTTCTCGAATAGTCTCAGTTCGATTGAGGCTATTCGGTCGATGAAATCAAGTAGGTACTCATCTTATTTC